TTGTCTCCAGAACATTTCAACCCGTTGCTGGAACAGATCTCAAAGTTAGAAGAAGCTCTCTACAACATTCAATTTGAACAACACTGGTTAGAGGCTCAAACTGATCGTCAGGCGCTAGGTAACTTCTGACGCAATTATCTGCTGTTCATATCTGACTTGGAAAAAATTATTCGTCGACTCCTGAATAAGTCCTTGTTCGATCCCATCATTTTCAAAATATATTTTTTTCTCTTTCATTTTCAACCACACATTTTTCAATAAAATAATATTACACGTAAACGAAAAACTTTTCCTTATTTTGAAACCACACATTCTCCATCAATTTACCATTCTAAAATACATTCTTAGCAAAAAAAGAGGCTCAAATAGGCACTAAGTGTAGTTGGAACATCTCTTTGTAAGTTGGAATTATAATAGTGAGATCACATTCCTTATCTCCCCCGTCCTTAAAAAAGTTGAAAATGGAAATCAATGTATTATGCATGAATGTTGAAAAACAGTTCATGGACTAGAAAGATCCTACAATAGTTGGATACTTCGATGCTCGATCAGTCCTACTAGGGCATCGTATATTGTCGGACACTAAAGGATATGAATCCAACAAGCTGTGTGCCGTTGTCCCATTTTTTTATATAAATACTGACACTTGAGGGATACTTTGGAGACAAGTGTCTAACATGATGACATGTGCGGTGTCCAGTATCAGAAATTATGAAAATAAAGCTATAATATATGAATTTAAAACTTTAAAGAATTTGAATCGATGTGTATGTGTCCTACTTTTTCGAAAAATTATGCAACTTTGGTGGGATATCTAGCAGCAAGTTTTTCCCTCCTGGCTTGAAACATCACAATTAACAGTTAAGACACAGTTTAGGAAATTCTACATGCTACCAAGGTTGTTGCCCAGATAATCATTTATCTATAGATACTTTATTATCTTATAATTGATTATAAATATCATTTTCATCTTTATCTATAATGTAAAAAGGGTTTACAAGCGATATTTGTAAGAGGTATTCTGCCTCTAAAAGTTTTCTAGTATAACCATGCTATAGTAACATAATGATTAACATAATTTTTGACATAATGTCACATGACATCATATTATTAAATTGTTTAAAACAAGGACAATTTTTCCATCCAATCTTATCTTGCCAACTCATTCTGTCAAATGACCTCTCAATATTTTTCAGTCGAAGTGGCTTTATCCTTTCTAGTTATCCATTAGTTGACATTCCTATTCATTGTCCTTAATAGTAGACGTATGCCATTAATTTGGTAAAGTGTGTCAGTTTTAGTATGAGATTCAATGGCTTTCTCAACTTAGATACGCACAAATACTCCGGTCTTTATAGCCGTATTGCGACATCAATAAAACTACTTGTACAAAGTTGAGTTACAAAAGTTGGATTACAAAGTGTGTTGGCAAAATTCAGGCCATTGATTTCAAATACTTTAAAAATCTATTTTTGAAATGATTGCTATAAATCTGATTTTGTCATCCATTTTTGTCAATTCCTTTTGTAAGCGTAGCATAACTCGTGTGACATTCAGTGGCTTCTGAGATAGAAGTATTCATTTTGGAATTTTCATCTCGTTTCTGGATAATTAACGAGACGCATTCTTTCGTTTTTTATGGATGGTGCAGTCAATGAAAGTATGGCCCGGAGAGCAATGCAGAAGGCATTTTTTGAATCTATAGCACTTATCGGAGCTTGTAGCATTCAAGTTTACCTCCTCCTCCAACTTTTTGAAAGGAAACTTGGAACATCCAGAGTCTAAAATTTTCTACCACTTTCTATTTATTGGCATTTGGAATATCCACAACTTTTAATGCTGTGGAGTTTTGCTTGTTGGATTACCCATTGTTAGATGTATCAGTTAATTTATTTATTTATTTATTATTATTATTTTTTGTTTTTTGTTTTTTTGGGATGATTTATGATCATTTATCTCTAATTTTGTGAAGGAATATCTTTCATTATGTAGTTCCCAGGGAAAATTAATTTAGCAGCAAATCTAGAGTGAATTTTACAAATGGTCACTAGTTTGTGCAAAATTTTAAACTGGTTCTTAAAGTATTTTTTTACATATCATATACTATTATTTTCTCCAAGTGTTAACCTTAACATGATAATAGAGCACAACTCAGACAAGAAAACTGGTACTGATCCTGTCTCAGCCAAACTAATTCCTCCGCCGTTGTCGCCTACATTAGCTCCCTTTCTTCTGGCCACACAGCCCCCAACCTTAGCCCTCATCTGTATTCTTCCCATGGATTTTCTTCTCTCATCTCCATTAATATTTCTTCCCAAGTTCCCCTCGCTCACCAGTGTAAATTATGCCATTCTTGGATATGATACATAACGATTTGTTGATAGGTCACGTCCTCGTTCTCCAGCCATTATCAAATCTGATGGAGAAAAAATTCCAAATCCTGATTTTACATTCTGAATCCATCAGGATCAACTTCCAACCCCACCATAATCCTGTTAAGACTTGGGGTCCATCTTAATAAGGTCAATCTTATTAAAAGGAGTGTCTCAACCCTTTATATATTGGTCATTATTTCGGTATTTTACCGATGTGGGATTATATTCCCTTAACATGCTCCCGCAAGATGGTGGCTCGTTTGAGCAGACCAATCTTGAAATTCGTGTGCTCATTTTTAGAGACTTAATCGGATTGAATCGCTCGTTGGAACTTAATGGGCTCTGATACCATATTAAGACGTGGGGTCCATCTTAATAAGGTCAACTTTATTAAGTTCCAACCCTTTATATATTGGTCATTATTTCGGTATTTTACCGATGTGGGATTATATTCCCTTAACAAATCCTGTACATAGCCTCATCTAAGACTTCTTAGAAAGCTTGGAACGCCCTCAAAACAACATATGCTAAATCATCACATGGTTATATGATTGCACTGAAAAACAGTCTATCCAGCCTCGTAAAAGGAACCAAAACTATTACTGATTTCTTCGAACTTGCTAAGAGCAAAGCTGATGAGATTGCCCTGATGGATTCTCCTTCACTTTCCAATGATTACTAAAACATATCCTCTTGAAACCCATCTCTCTTTTAATGGGCTTTTATGAAAATCTTGTTAACTTGAAAGAATATCTTCGCCATGTTGAAAAATTCAAATAGCCTTATTTGTCAAACAGTGCCTTTGTAACCACCTCACAGCCACGTCCCAATTATCACTTATCTAACTATTGCTTCGCTCCTCCATCTCGTGATCATTGTCAAATCTGCGACAACAAAAATAGAACCGAGTTGGACGTACAAGCTTAGCTCTTATAGACCCTTTATAGGAATCTTACATGGGTGGGGTCTATTTATCTCTTTTTTTTTTGCCATTTTTTCATTGCACCGGGCCCCGCGTGGGGCTGACCCATGCGAGGGTTCTGTAATTCCTCAGTAAATATTTCCCCACAGGGACTTGTTCACAAAAATATCGCCCTCATCCTACCACTTGGACTGTAGACTTCCTTCCGTCTTATCACCCACCAAATTTCTACTAGCTCTAACCCTATAGCGCAACCTAACAATCCCTGTCTCCTTGATTCTGTTACCTCCTATTTTATTACCTCTGACCTGGGCATTTATTCTCTTCATTTCCCATGCTTTGGTCAAAATTCTATGATGGTTGGCAATTTACTCGAACTAGTTCAGCCTTCTTTTCATTTTTATCCTTATTTTTCCCTCACGCTGTCTAACGTGCTTGTCTTCCGTCTATGTCTCATAATTTAATTTCCATATCCAAAATTTCCGCTCAACAATATAACTGTTGAATTTTCTCATTCCATGTGAACGAATGTTGAACGAGAGCATTTCTGCTACAAGGCCTAGTTAAAGTTCCTGTTTATAAATGGCCAAGAACATCTACCAAACCC